CCGCTGACCCCCCGTGTCCCCCCGCAGTGCTGGCTCCCGACGAGGACGACCTGGTGGCCATGGAGGTGTCGTCCCCTCCCCCCATGGCCAAGAAGAGCTCGGCCCTGGAGCCGCCCCCCCCCCGCCTGGGCTCCAAAGTGTCCCCGGAGCCCCCCGGCAGCAAAGCCGAGCCCCAGGACTCCAAAGGTGAGCTCTGCCCTCCTGGGATTCCCTCCTGGAATTCCCTGCTGGGGTTCCCTGCTGGGGTTCCCTGCTGGGGTTCCCCCCTGGGGTTCCCTCCTGGGGTTCCCTCCTGGGGTTCCCTCCTGGAATTCCCTCCTGGAATTCCTTCCTGGGGTTCCCTCCTGGAATTCCCTGCTGGGGTTCCCTCCTGGGGTTCCCTGCTGGAATTCCCTGCTGGGGTTCCCTCCTGGGGTTCCCTCCTGGAATTCCTTCCTGGGGTTCCCCCCTGGGATTCCCTCCTGGGGTTCCCTCCTGGGGTTCCCTCCTGGAATTCCCTCCTGGAATTCCTTCCTGGGATTCCCTGCTGGAATTCCCTGCTGGGGTTCCCTCCTGGGGTTCCCTCCTGGAATTCCCTCCTGGGGTTCCCTCCTGGGATTCCCTCCTGGAATTCCTTCCTGGGGTTCCCCCCTGGGGTTCCCTCCTGGGATTCCCTGGCATTCCCTCCAGGAATTCCCTCCTGGGATTCCCTCCTGGGATTCCCTCCTGGGGTTCCCTCCTGGAATTTCCTCCTGGGGTTCCCTCCAGGAATTCCCTCCTGGAATTCCCTCCTGGGATTCCCTGCTGGGGTTCCCTCCTGGAATTCCCTCCTGGAATTCCCTCCTGGGATTCCCTCCTGGGATTCCCTCCTGGGATTTCCTCCTGGGATTCCCTGGGATTCCCTCCTGGGATTCCCTCCTGGAATTCCCTCCTGGGATTCCCTCCTGCATGGCCCTGGGGTTCCCTCCTGGGATTCCCTCCTGGATTGCCCTGGGATTCCCTCCTGGGATTCCCTCCTGGGATTCCCTCCTGGAATTTCCTCCTGGGATTCCCTGGGATTCCCTCCTGGAATTTCCTCCTGGATTGCCCTGGGATTCCCTCCTTGGATTCCCTCCTGGGATTCCCTGGAATTCCCTGGCATTCCCTCCAGGAATTCCCTGGGATTCCCTCCTGGAATTCCCTCTTGCATAGCCCTGGAATTCTCTGGGATTCCCTCCTTGAATTCCCTGGAATTCCCTGGGATCCCTCCTGCATTGCCCTGGGATTTCCTCTTGCATTGCCCTGGATTTCCCCGGAATTCCCGAGATTTCCCTGGAATTCCTGAGATTTCCGTGGATTTCTCAGGATTTCTCCGGAATTGCCCTGAATTGCCCTGGAATTCCCTCGATGATTTCCCTGGAATTCCCTTGATAATTTCCCTGGAATCCCCCGGATTCCCCCGGAATTCCCTGGAATTCCCCGGGGTTCCCATCGGGCTGGGCGGGGTTTAATTAACGTTGGGGGTTAATGAGGGGGGCGTGTCCTTCCTGCAGTGCTGAATTCCCTGGGATCAGCTCCTGCTTTCCTCCCCTCACCCGCGGATTTATCCCGGATTTTCCCATTTTTCCCATTTTTTCCCCCATTTTTCCCAGCCCCCAGCCTGAAAACCTGCGAGGTGTGTGGTGCCTGCTCCCATCCCAAAACTGGAGCTGATCCCAAGGGATTTTTAACCTCTGCTGTTCCTCTCGATTCTGAGATTTGAATTCTCTCTAATTTTCCCATTTTTCCCGTTTTTTCTCCCATTTCCCAGCCTGACCACCTGCGAGGTGTGCAGCACCTGCTCCCATCCCAAAACTGGGGCTGATCCCAAAACTGGGGCTGATCCCAAGGGATTGGGAGCTGATCCCAAGGGATTTTTAACCTTTGCTGTTTCTCTCTGTATTCTGACATTGCAATTATTTCTAATTTTCCCATTTTTCCCATTTTTCTCCCATTTTCCAGCCCCCAGCCTGACCACATGCAAGGTGTGTGGTGCCTGTTTCGATCTCAATACTGGGACTGATCCCAAAGGATTTTTAACCCCAGGTTTTTCTCTCTATTCTGATATTGGAAATATCTCTAATTTTCCCATTTTTTCCCCATTTTTCTCCCATTTTCCAGCCCCCAGCCTGACCACATGCGAGTGTGCAGCACCTGCTCCCATCCCAAAACTGGTGCTGATCCCAAGGGATATTTAGCCCCAGGTTTTCCTCTCTATTCTGACATTGCAATTCTCTCTAATTTTCCCATTTTTCCAATTTTTCTCCCGTTTCCAGCCCCCAGTCTGATCAC